GTCTTTTTGACGGAGCTACCACCGACGAACACTTCTGTCAGCGCAAGAAAACGCTGCAACCTCCGCTCGAGTCCGAAAAATAGGTCGGAATTTCAGAGCGATGGAGAATGAAGTTTCTGTCTACTTCCAGCTGTCTGGTGTCAAGGATTGTTTGCCGTGGGGAGGTATAGAAAAGTTGAAAAAGCGCTTCGCGAGCTTGAATTTCAGTGCTGGCACAGTACAGCGCCTAGTGAAGAGTTACCCCCAGCAAATCGCTGACGAAGAAACTGGTGCTCATGTCGACATCTCCAGAAAGTGAGAACAATCCGGCTGACATACTCTGATGCTCACAGAGGACCGGGCAAAGGAGCTAATCAAAATCAACACCAAGTCCTGAGGGAAACTCTCGTGCAAAGGACTTTCAGGAAACTAACCGAAAAGCCTGGTGCAAGGCATTAGGACTTAGGTGCAGTAAGCACAGCCACAGGTGCTACATCAAGCGGAAGCTATCACTGAGCTGCATGTACAAGCATCAGAGTCTTGCGTGGGTGCTGATCAGCAAGTACGACAAGCGCAAGAGGCGATTTGAAAAAAAAAGACACTAATGTGGCATTGCATTTTTGTCTCAAACTAAGCCGCATTATTGCGACGAACGGGATAACACTTTCAGCCAACACACAGGCAGTCTCAATCAGCTTCTGAGCGGCAAGGTGACTGGCACACACTGCCTTTGAGCGTGATTCGAGACGAGGCGAATTTGAGCAAGCTATGAAACGTGCAGCAGCTGTCCGGATCGAACGTTTTGAGCGCATGCTTCAAATACAATTATGTATCTCCTTGCTGAGACAAGTGCGAAGATAAGCGCCAATTGTAACTACAGTCAACTTCGCTAATAACGACTGCGGTTATAACGACAATTCGCGAATAACGATCGAATTTCCATGCCGGGAGCAAAGTCCCATCTAACTGTATACATTTAACTTCGGATATAACGACTATCTGAATAACGACAATTCGCGTATAGCGACATGCTTTTAGTGCCCCGAGGTCATATTCACTGCTTGAATAACGACTTTCTGGGCTTTTGACAGCTATTTCAAGTACCTGTCATGCAGAAGTACCAGAACCTATGGTGATGGATATTATTCATAATTAATAATTATTATAAAGGCACACATGCAAGAAAATGCAGCCAAGGGGGAGGGGGCTTTTTCTTCCTTTTTTATGTTGGCTTCAAAATTGTTGGATTTACCAGCACACCTATATGTATACAATGTACATGTAGTTGTACATGATTGTACAGTAATCATCATACATGTACATGTACATGTCCCTGGCCCTGTAGATGGCTCAAAAAGGCATATTATTAATTTTTTCAATTAATTTCCCTTGCATATTGAATTTTTAGTTCCTTTCAACTGCAATATGAAAATAAAGTACACATTGACATAGAGCAAGAAAAGAGCTTGATTTTGATATGCATGTCATACTATACAAAATATGGGTTCACATACATTCAAATGGGACTTCGGTTATAAGGACACTTCGCGAATAAGGACACTTTTCTGATGCCCCGCCGAATGTCGTTATTGGCGAAGTTGACTGTAAATTAGTGTACGTCCTCATGTTCTTTCCGCTTGTCTCAAATGTACTTTGACGTGCTATTTCGCCTGACGACATAGGCGATAAAATGATTAAACTGCTAAAACTCAAAAACAAAAAGCTGCAAGTTGTGGACAAACACGTTGAACTTTTTTAATCTGTTTCCGATTATTTTAATGAAGTTTTTTAAAGACAACATGTATGCGGTTTACCCATACAATTTTGTACTGTGGCCAACGACGAGACGCACATCAGGAAGTTCTGCAAGCCCGGGTTTGTGTGACTCCCTGTCACAGATCTACTCACACCATCTGAACCATGCATGTATATATACATCAACTGTTCCAAAACAGAATGACTTCAGCTCGATTTTGGTCTCGCCTTTAATACTGTAATATGTTATGACGTACATTGGTTACATGAAACCAGGCAGAAGGAACAACAAGTTTTAATGTTATTCGTACTTCAAAATAGTTGTCACAGTGAAAAGTGTTATGTTTGAATCCATAGTCTGTCTGTCCAACCGCGCTGCCAACACGAAGAAAAAGAAGTAACGTCAGGCCTTCGAGAACCTCCGTGGGGTTTTTCACTCTACTGGTGAGGTCCACGGATGCGGTGCTGCATCGTGAATATGCCAGCTAGCAGAAGGGACTTGCTGGTCGCCTCGCCTTCAAGTGGGATAAGCCCTTTTCAATCATCACGGCTTGGGTGCGAATTCGTACCCAATTTGCAGTGTTCCATGCAGTCGACCTCCGGCTACGCGGGCAAGAAGGTTCTTGACACGCCTGTCGACGCAGGGTGGTGCTGGGGTAGGCATCGAACATTGAGAACTGAATTTCGTCTGTTTTACGTGAAATTTCTCGGAGTTTTCCAATGTATTGTACTGGAATAATATTCTATTTTACGTTTTCATGGTATCTCTATTTTCCACATCTACATGAATTTATCTTGCCCATAAAAGAGGCCGTTACCCCGTCAAAAAAAGAAAAGAAAAAAGTCTGTCTGAACATGATCCGAGGCTGTACGCCATACGCTGCTCTGTGTGTACTACACATTATACATGCATGCAGTGTACACTGTTGTCAACTGCTTTGTCACGTGTGCATTATTCTGTAGTGTTTGGTGTAGAGCACGTAATCTATTCTGCTAGCGACCGGTGGCCTGTACGCCAGCTAGGACAGTTATTGGTTTCCTGATTTCGAATAGTTCCTCGCTTGTATTGTATTGTATTATTTATTTTCGGATTCTCCAGAGGTAAGTAGATACTATTATGATCACACCAGAGCAGTTCAGGACAAGACAAAAGGGGAACTGTTGACTTCAAGATCAAAGCTAGAACGCCGAACTAGAACGACATGGAAGCTCAATTTTAGAGTAGAGGAGTAGAAAGATAATGATCTATCACGTGAGGCAGCTCACTAGTAAGGATATAACATCCCTCCACCATTAGATGAGGAACACTTAAAGCAATAGTATGAGAAATGAGTTCACTATAATTTGTTGCTGATACGAGAAGCGAGTTCAATGCAACACACTAAGGAACTGCAAATATCAACAGAGAGCTGAATGCAAAACCCAGCAGGTCTGCAGTTACAAGTTCAAAACTTCAAACGATCAGGGGACTTCCTTGAGCGTGTAGACCTGTGCAGATTAGAGCTAGGAGAATTAACAGAGATATCAGAAGACTGAGTAGAAGATTCAGCAGAAGGTGCAGCAGATGCAGAAGAGGATTGTGATGTTGATTCCACATTCTGGCGGCTTGCGGCAACCTCTGGCTGTGACGGCGGCTGTGGTGATTCGGCATCTGCATGTGACGGCGGCTGTGCAGTTGCCAAAGTTGAAGTTGATGATGACCGGTCGGATATGCCTGCACTCTCGGATTGCATTTCTCCTCCCTCGGACGGAAGACTGCGTCTAATGTGATCAGCATGGCGCTTCCAAATGCGACCATCATCCAGACGTACAGTAAACGTGGCTGGACCAAGACATTCTTCCAGCACACCAGGCATCCACTTCAGCGTAGATGTGAAGTTAATCACCCAAAAAGCATCACCACAACAGAGATCCGACGCCCGAGCTGTGCGACGCAGCTGCACCTTGCCTGTTCAAGACATGTGCTGATGTATCTGGAATCCTCAGGTCAAGGCTAGAACGTGGCGTGCGGTTCATAAGCATCTAAAATGGTGACTGGCCTGTTGTTGACTGAGGCATTAAGCGATAATGAAACTGAAAGCGGTGTAACCGTGACGCTAGGTCTCCACCAGCACCTGACAATTTCTTCAAGCTGGATTTGACTGTTTGAACTGCTCGCTCAGCAAGACCGTTGCTTGCTGGGTGGTAGGTGAAACCAAGGTATGCTTGATACCGTTACTTGAGCAGAATTGTTGAAATTCCGAGCTGGTGAACACTGAGCCATAATCCGAGACAAGCTTTTGCAGAAGACCATGTGTAGCGAAACACTCACAAAGCTTGCCAATGGTAGCTGTCGACGTAGCAGGTGGAATGACGTGCATGTCAATGTACTTGCTGTGGCTGTCGACGATCACAAGTAGCATCTTGCCTTCCACAGGGCCTGCATAATCAATGTGCAGTCGGGTCCAGGGTTTGCCTGGCCACTCCCAGGGATGCGATGGCTGTAGTGCTGGAGACTTCTGGGTTGCTTAACATGGCTCACAGCCGCTGACCTTGAGTTCAATTTCGGCATCGATCGATGGCCACCAGACGTAGCTGCGGGCGAGCGACTTCATTCTGGTTATGCCGGGATGGCTGAAATGTAACTCTTCCAGTAACTTTTCTCGGCCTTGGGGCGGAACGACAACGCGAGACCCCAACAGTAAGCACCCATCGATAATGGAGAGTTCACTTCGACGACGGTAGTACGCTTGGTAATCACTATGCACGTTGTTAGGCCAGCCTGTCTGCACGTACTTAAGAACTAATGCAAGCACTGGATCACGGCGAGACCATTGCGCAACGCTCGATGATGTCCCGCGAGTTCCGTCCAAAACAGTTATTGACAAAACTGTTTCAGCCGGCACGGGAACCGTGGAATTCTAGCATTGGTGCCGGCAGACGACTGAGACCATCAGCGTTTCCATTCGACTTGCCGGGCTTGTACTGTAGCTCATTGTCATAATTGGGTAACATCAGCGCCCAGCGCTGAATACGACCGCTGGCAATAGCAGGAACGGGACGACACTCGCTGAACAAACGCAGCACAGGTTTGTGGTCTGTTTGAAGAGTGAATGATTGGCCATACAGGTACTTGTGGAATCGCCTGACAGCGAAACCTAACTGATAGTGGAAGGTGGGAGGAACTGAGGCATATTGCGAAAGAGAAAGACACGAGAACGAAATGTATTCGTAAAGGCAACAATATGGTCGGAAAAATTCAAAGTGGATGATAATATGACACCGAGATGACGGTGGTTTGGGACACAATTGATCTTAACACCATTCATGGAAATGGTACCAGAAGTAGCCGTGGTAAGGGAGAAGACCATTTGGTAACATTTACTGGGGTTGAATACAGCTGAGACATTCTCAGACCAGGACAGACAGCGATCCAGATCAGATTGGAGGGCTGCAGTGTGTATCGCTCTGGACGCGCCAGGCACCGAGCAGCAGAGAAGATTGGAATCGTCAGCAAATAGAGTCATTCCACCAGTACAGGGTAGAGGCGACCGTTCGATACCAGAACGGGTTGACAGCAAAATTGTGTAGATCCAATCCGATCATCAGTGTGGATTGTTCACTCGAAATATGTTTGTGGAAGGAAGCTGGCATGTTGAAGTTTTCTCTGAGGCCAGAGTCGATCGATCTGAGCCCCTCCTTTGTGTTGGCCCGTTGCCTCTCAGTTGCCCTCAATTTTTGGTGTTTAAGGAGGTGGCTCCAAACCGGACAGGTTTTAGAGTGCCCGTCAAATTCACTCTGGGTCTGAAATTAGGTAATTGCTATGGCTCCACGACGGCCAATACAGACCACCAATAAGCCTTGTGTGTGCTTCCATTAGTTTTCATTGGTATACGGTTCTTTATTGGCGAGAGGTGAGCCGCTGTTTACCTGTGACAAGAAGTTGATTTTTCAAAATACGTAAAACTCAAGTCGCAGTGGGAAGCAACACGTCGAAAACTCAAATGCTTGGTATGGCGCTTCAGGTCATCGCAGAGCCATGGAATTTTGGCGCTGAGTAGAACACATCGTAGTCTCACTGTGACATACGTTTTCTAATCAAAATACCAAGAGAGAAAGTGAATATTTAGACCGTTCTGGTTTGCAACCTATGTTCTATTTGAAACCGTCTCCTCTACACTGACAACGGAATCTATGCTCGTGTTGAATAAAAGCGGACCAAGATGGGAGCCCTGGGGAACTCCGGTAGATAAGGGGGAAAGCATTGAAATCATGTCGCCGACACGAAAACGCAGGACACGACCAGATATAAAGTCCCGAACCAAGTCACGGGCAGCCGAGCTGCACCAGCCAGAAAGGGCATGTAAAATGACTGCATGACTGGTCCGATCGAATGCCTTCGACAGGTCGAGAAACACCCCATCACACAGCGCTTTGGCATCAAATGCTTTGGCAGCTGTGGCATCGAGGCATAGGATCTGATCAACAGTTGATCAGTGGTGCCGAAATCCAAACTGGCTCAGAGATAGTAAGCTATTGACCTCTACAAAGGAGTAGAACTGACGACTAATGATTGATTCAAAGAGTTTACCGACTCCATCAAGGAGGGAAATGGGTCGGTAACTCAGCGGGTCAGAGACATCTCCCTTACCCTTGTACAGGGGAATGACTACTGCTGACTTCCACTCGAGAGGCTGCATAATGTTTAAAATGCAACGGTTGAAGACTTCAGTCAGGGATTGGGCTAATACTTCAGCTAATTCCCGGAGGGTGCGGTTGGGCAGCACGCCGGCGGGGTATTGTACCGTCGTAGTTTTTTAAAGAGGCAAGGGGAAATACTAAACGGTCGCTGCTGTGGCGTTCATAACATCATAGTCGGGTCATATGGACTCTCCAAAGACTATAGCCTAATTCGAGGGAGTCTCCATTTCGAGGGAGTCTCCATTTCGATATTTGCATTGTTTTCTTTTCCGAAAGAAAGGTGTCAGCACCGACGCAATCCATACAGTCAAGTAAGCCAATTTATTAACCGAACGTTTTCGTTCACTTCTCATCATGGGTAAACACAGGGAATAATGGAAATAGGTTAAATACAGCAACTTATAGAGCTACAGCAAAAGCATAGATTGAGAACCTCACGCTATACGTGTTGAAAAATAGAATTCAGCTGAACAAGTCAACAACAGGGTGAAGGTAAAAACATGACTATAAAACATTATGAAAATATCAATGAGAAGAAGCATTCCTGCCACTTTCACGAGGATTAGTGCCAAACTACTGAAGCGACAAAACATTTTCCTTCTGAACACATAGTTCAGGGGGACAACTTGCGAATATATAACGCTTCCAAAACAATACACCACACCACCACCACCACATTGCGCTCTTGGCCAATCCAAACTCTGCACTCACATCACCATCACCACAGCGAGGACAATTCCGGTATATAGATTGATATTGACAATGACCCTCCAGACAGCTGTTTCTTTTTCTATATATTGCCGGAATTGTCCTCGCTGTGGTGGTGGTGATGTAAGTGCAGAGTTTGGATCGGCCAAGAGCGAAATGTGGTGGTGGTGGCGTGGTGTATTGGATTCCATAATGGCCGAGTCGTCGCTACTTCTTCTCAGCTTCCAAAACAGGCAAATGTAATACAGATATTCCACGGGCCAAAACTGACAAAACATCATCTCTGTACAACTCTTGTGAAGAAAAGAGAACGAAAACGTTCGGTTAATAAATTGGATTACTGGGCTGTGTGGATTGCGTCGGTGCTGACACCTTTCTTTCGAAATTGGTTACGCCTCCAATTTTTTCCTTATGTTTTTTTCCTCTGGTATTCTGTATTTCTAGCTCACACGTGCAATGTGCCAACATTGGCTCATGGTAACCAGAGCAATAAACAGTCAGAAATCGAGTATGGAATGGATGTGAAATACACATGTGAGGTTGGATATAAGATGAATGGACCTGCTTTAGTTAACTGCACTGCAAATGGTTTGAGTGCAACCACTACCTGTGAACGTAAGTGGAATGTTCTCACTCGTATATGGTCACCGGCGTTTCTGTTGGGTTTTCTAGTTTCAAACGTACTTCTTGAGTAACAAATTCATAATATGCAAAGTTGAACACAGTCCACAGAACACTGTGTGTGTATGGATGTGTATGTGTGTATACACAGAGAGCGGAGAAGACTCCGCTCTCTGTGTATATATATATATACGCTCCTGCTCTTGTAGCAGTTGAGCACTCTTGCGTGGGGTAGTGCCTTTGCTGTTTGCTTTATGCAGAGCTCACTGACTTGTCAGTTTGAGCACTCTGGCATGGTACGTTCGGGCCTGATTGGAAATTTTTATTTCCATTGCTATCAGGTTCGGCCTCATTTCCTCTGTGCTGCGCTGACGAGTCCACAAAGGACGAAACAGTTCTGTCCGCAGATTGAGTATTTCGCTCCTGCTCTTGTAGCAGTTGAGCACTCTTGCGTGGGGTAGTGCCTTTGCTGTTTGCTTTATGCAGAGCTCACTGACTTGTCAGTTTGAGCACTCTGGCAAGGTACGTTCGAGCCTGATTGGAAATTTTTATTTCCATTGCTATCAGGTTCGGCCTCATTTCCTCTGTGCTGCGCTGACGAGTCCACAAAGGACGAAACAGTTCTGTCCGCAGATTGAGTATTTCGCTCCTGCTCTTGTAGCAGTTGAGCACTCTTGCGTGGGGTAGTGCCTTTGCTGTTTGCTTTATGCAGAGCTCACTGACTTGTCAGTTTGAGCACTCTGGCAAGGTACGTTCGGGCCTGATTGGGAATTTTTATTTCCATTGCTATCAGGTTCGGCCTCATTTCCTCTGTGCTGCGCTGACGAGTCCACAAAGGACGAAACAGTTCTGTCCGCAGATTGAGTATATATATATATATATACTCAATCTGCGGACAGCATGCTGTTTCGTTCTTTTTGAACTCATCAGCGCAGCACAGAGAAATGAGGCCGAACCTGATAGCAATGGAAATAAAAATTTCCAATCAGGCCCGAACGTACCTTGCCAGAGTGCTCGAACTGACAAGTCAGTGAGCTCTGTATAACGCAAACCGCAAAGGCACTACCCCACGCAAGAGTGCTCAACTGCTACAAGAGCAGGAGCGAAATACTCAATCTGCGGACAGCATGCTGTTTCGTTCTTTTTGAACTCATCAGCGCAGCACAGAGAAATGAGGCCGAACCTGATATATATATATATATTTAAACAGAGAGGTAGGCGAACAACACACAACAACAAGGTTGTCAGTTTCATAATACTAAAAGCTTTTCACCCATTTTCATCAGTAGTTACATGGGAATGAGCAAGAACGAAAACGAAGCCAGAATTTATACTGGGGGTAGAGAATCAGCAAGAATATTCTTACGCGCCTCAAGTTCACACTACACTACCATAAGAATGTATGGAGCAGTGGAAAAAAGCGGGAAACACCACATGAAGGGAATGCAGTACCAGAACAAACACGTGATAAAGTTGTCAGTCCGGGTGCAGCTTTAACAGCCGCAGCACCTTGATGTGCTTCTTTTGTCGACACAGCTCTGGCCTCAAACTGCGAATGTACAGCGCCTCCAGTGTGAATCGGTGCGTGCTGTTCCGGGCTGGTGTGATGACACTGAAGCTGCTGCTGGATGCCTGTAGTTCAGCAGATCCAGTATGCGATATTTGGCTAAGTCACACTTGTATACTTGCTCAGCTGGTATCTAGTGCTGTGCTGGCATTTGGCGATGAGGTTGCACCTTGTGTTAAGGGTTGCTTTGTCGGCCGTGATAATTTCTAGCTTCTCTGTTAGACAGAGGTTACAGCGCTTGTTTCCGCTAGGATCCACGTTAAAATCCCATTATGCTGTGACCAGTCTGCATTGACTCTCTTACCCTGACTCTGGCTCCCTGTCACAAGGGAGTGCCATGGCACTATGGAGCAGTCATCTTATAGTAGTGGTGGTAGTAGTAGTAGTAGTAGGAGGAGCAGCAGCAGCAGCAGCAGCACCAGCAGCAGCAGCAGCAGCAGCAGCAGCAGTAGCAGTAGCAGTAGTAGTAGTAGCAGTAGTAGTAGTAGTAGTAGTAGTAGTAGTAGTAGTAGTAGTAGTGGGTGTGTGTGTGGGTGTTTGTGTGTGAATGCGTGCGTGAGTGTGAGTCTCACGGGTGATAATTGCACCCAGTCGATGAGATGGTCTTGCCCACAGTACCTATGGAAGGACCTGTAGGGAAAGACCATCTCATCGAATGGATGCAATTATCACCCATGAGACTCCCACTCACACACGCATGCAAGTACACACACACACACACACACACACACACACACACACACACACACACACACACACAAACACACACACACACACACACACACACACAAACACACACACTTTTGTTACTGATGTCGAAAAAATTATTTACGTTTCGGGCCAGTCAGCCATCGTCAGATACAATTCACAAGTGGCGAACCCGGCCTTTTATAACGAAAGCAAGCGGGAGTGTAGGAATGTCAATGTACAAAACAAACGAATGCGTATGCAATTGAGGGTATGAATTCGCATGTGCAGCAGACAAGGAGAAGTGTGCTGAAAGAGTGGGTATGCAGCAGCTCAGCAGATAACCAGAAGGAAATGTGTGGACGAACGTGTATGCATGTACAAAAATCAGTGTGTGTACAAACCCTGTACAGACACAGCAAGAGTTAGCAGTTTCACTGTGAGGGTGCTAGTGCCTTCAATGGCCATCCGAAGGAGATATTGATCTCCGGACAACCCTCTCGAATCTCAGTGGACTCCCTGATTTTTCTTCTGGCCACCCGTGTTTCCACAGCCAGTACTTGGGCCTCAATGAAAATCACATCAGTGCTCTTGATGGTTCCGTGCTCCCGGTGACCAGAAGCCTATGTGTTTACCCAACTGTTTGTCGAGCATCCTGTGACTTGGTTCGATTCTCCATTTCGATGTTTGTATTGTTTTTCTCCCTCTGGTATCCTGTATTTCTAGTTCACACGTGCCATGTGCCAAAATTGGCTCATGGTAGGCAGAACAATAAACAGTCAGAAATCGAGTATGGAATGACTGTGGCATACACATGTGAAGTTGGATATTGGATGAACGGACCTGCTACAGTGACCTGCACTGCCAATGGTTTAAGTGGACACACTTCATGTTTTGGTTAGTGGAATGTACTCACTCGTATCAGGTCACGTTTCTGTTGGGTTTTCTAGTTTCAAACGAGCAACACATTCATGATATACAAAGTTTAACACAGTCCACACTTGCATCACGACATGACTTGTTATGGTTTTTCCCATCAAGAAAATCAGTCTGAACGGCATTTTAACGGTACAAGAACGACAGCGTCAAAATTCCAAAACAGTCTCTTAATTGTTTTCTTCTATTAAATTCACTCTAAGATTGTACGCTGAAGACACAAAGGACGTCATTACCACACCTCACACCCAGCGGCCAACTGCGGGCAAGGTGGAGATGGAGTACGTCAGACATACTGATATCCAATGACCTAGGATCTCGGCACAATTGCGGTGCATAGAATGACAAAAGGGAGATGTTTCTGATTTCGTTTCGGTGTGAAACTGCAGTTAACATCCCAGTGCACGCACAGACATTGAAGAAAAGGTTTGGGGTAGACTGTAACTCGCGCTGGGGAAGGGGGTTAGGCTTACACTCCCACCAACACATGGTTGGGGGGCGGGGGGCAATGGGAAAAAAGGGGGCAATAGCCCCTCCCCTCCCCCCCCCCCCCCCCACCACCACAACTGCTCTAGAGCAGTGGTGGTTGGGGAGGGGGGGGGGGAGGGGCTGGTGCCCTCTTTTCCCCTCCCCTTAACCACCACTACCCCCAACATAATTATTTGGTAAACTCTGTGAATAGTAATGTTTGCAAGCTCAAAATAGGATACATGTAGATGTAGCAGTGCATGCTGTCAGGTCATAGAGCTTATCCTGGTATGGAATGCAGTGTTTTCAGAAACATGCACAGTCATGTACATGTGCTTGACTGTACATGTGCTTGACTGTACATGTGCTTGACTGTACATGTGCTTGACTGTAAATGTGCTTGACTGTACATGTGCTTGACAGGCTCAGACATGGCCGGATACATGTAGCATGGCTGGTCCATGTCATTCTTTGTCATTATGTGCGTGCTGGGGGGGGGGGGGGGGGGGGGGGTTCCATGCCGGCTACGCACCTGGAAAGGTTATTTTTCTTGGACACTTTCCTTCAAAATCGAAAGGCAGGAGCACATTTACATCTTGTTTGTTTGTTCATTTTATTTTACTTCAACAAGTGAACAGGCATTTCTGCATTCTCACCAGGTCCGGAGACCTAGTTCCGACAAAATGACGAAGAGTAAATGAAAAGAAGAACATGCTACGAGTTATGACTAACTGTCCACCAACGTAACCAGATCTTATGCAGTCAGTGAGTGCGACAAAAATGGCACAAAACTGACAAGGAGTACTCAGACATTCGGCGACACCTAACTCCAACACATCTCCAAGGCGCAAACCAACAACCTTCCAACTAAGAAGGCTCAGGATCAGAAAGGTTCCAGAGGGGAACTTCTTCTTTTCACAATAATTTAAAGGGGCACTCCGGCTTCATTTTCGACGCCGAGTTTTCGATGCCAAGACGAAGGTAGGTGAAAGAGAAGACCCCTCGAACAAGAACGAGTCTCCAGAAGCGATCGAGTCCAGCAGGAAGACGACTTTTGAATTTCGCCGAGCGAGCGCTGATGACGTAATGAGGGATTAGCTTGCCAGTGGAAATGCATCTGCGCACATACATTTCACACACTTTTTGGCCAATTTTCAATCGAAGAGGAGGTTGTTTTCTATGTTCTCTCAACGTCGTGAGCGATCCCGTCTTCTATACCCTTCCAGGTACCCTGAAGGTCCTCCAGAGGAGAATTTATATCCAGCAAAGCGTTTGTTGATCCGCTAAATTCGTCTCGAGACATATTCAACCAGTGCAATGCTGATAAATATAGAATATTGAATCTGTGATAATTGTCGACGATGGAGAGAGAGAGGTTGATAGCCGCTGTCGCAGGGAAAGTGAAGCTGCTGGAAGTAACGACGGGGAGCTTGTTAGCATCACATGAGCATCCAGACTTCAAAGCAGCTTGATGGAATCGGGGAGTACTGACTATTTGTCTCGCCCTCAGTTAAGTGAATTTTATGACCAGAAGTTATTCGATCAGGATCCCTTCTACAAGATAATTATTATTGCTAGGGGTCAAAGGGGTGTACCGGGTACCCGGGTACCCGACCGTTAATCTCAGGTACCGTTAGTAAAAGGGTATCCGTTTGGATTTTGATGAACCAGTCAGTACGGAGCAACACTGCTGGGATCGTGTATTCCAGGCGGGAGTCAATAAGTTACAACTCCACGCTGGATGTCTGCATTGTTGTTGCATTTTCGCACCTAGTAGATGTACTCCTGCGACTATAAGACACCAATCGATTTGCGAAACACAATGTGATATCAAAATGCAAGCCGAGAACAGATGAATTAAAATCTTGATTTATGTGAAAATTGCGCAAAAAATTAAACATGGCTGCTAAAGGGTACCCGTTAACCCGCCCGTTAAGAAAATTACCCGTTCGTTAGTTAAAGGTACACCCGTTTGACCCCTAATTATTACGCACACGCACTCATGGCCAAGGCCAATGAAGGAGGAGGTGATGGCTATTATACTGTAAGACATGTATATATAACGAGGAAGTAAATCTAACGCTTTAACGGATGACATTTCTTCGTTATAATAAGATCCGTTGAGGCCATACTGCTTCATTATGTTGTGTGTGGATATGCCGGAATACTGCAAGGTCGTTAAACATAACTTCTCGTTAACCTATGAATTTTGGACAATCGTTAAATTTGCGACTCGTTATAATAACATGTCTTACAGTAGCCATGGCAAAAAAAAGAAAAAAAGAAAATGTCCCCAAAAAAATAGTCATGAGGCATCAGTTGTTTCTCTCTTCTGTTTCTGTGTGTTATTTTTGTTGTCAGGATATTATAGGAGTGAAACTCGCCGTGCGAACGGTGACCTTCGTTGCCCAGTGGGCATGTACTTATCAGTTCCCCCTATGTCCTACCTTCCAGAAGGACCAGGTAGCCAGAAAACTCTTTCCGAAGCAAAGGGCATTTGCCAAGCACTACATATGACTTTACCACCAAGGAGTGCTGCTCATTGCTTGTGGGACTTTGCCTACCACAGCACTGTTGGAATAGATATTGGCTATGAAGGTGTATGGGCAGACTACTGGCTAAGCTCCTCTGCCGATGTTGAATACAAAGTAAAGTTAAGGAGTGGTGGTGATGTGGATCGTGAACGTGGAAGTGTAATCTGCTATGGTGAGTAATGGCTGTTGTTGTTGATTGGTTGGTTTGAATTCTTTATTCTCAAGACGGCACCATCGCCAACAAGAGATAAGTTTACGAGAAGGTGAGATGCTGTGGGTTGGACTGTGGGTTATGCAGTTGGAAAGTGATTTACATCACCTTGAGTTTTACAAGTATGGGAGAGGGTGAGCGCTGCAGGAGCAGATTGAGTTAATCAGCGGTGAGCAGATTTCTTGTTTGAAAGCAGGCCGGGAGGAGACGTCACGAATGCTAGCAGGGAGGGCATTGTAGTATTCTAGGGACTTGTACAGTGGGGAGTCTTTACAGCGATCGGTTCTGGAGGGTGGGAGGTGCCAAGTGCGTGCGTGTCGAAGGCTATACTGGGCCGTAACTTGAGCGGGGTTGCTGAGCACGCGTATGTGTTGTGGGGCATATTGGTATTTTATGGATTGAGCAAGAAGGGTGAGCTTCACTTTGCGGCGAGAGAACATTGTCGGCCCTTTGAGCCGATGGAGTGGTGTTGAATGATTCAGAGGAGTGTAAAGGCTGGATACGCTCAAGACGGTGAAGTGCTGTGATTGAGAGCTGGGTGACAGCAATGCATGCATAATTCAAATTATAATAGGGGTTGGTTGGTTGGTTGGTTGGTTAGTTGGTTGGGGGGGGGGGGTGTTTGTTTGTTTAGTTGGTTGGGTGGCACTGGGTGGGTGGGTGGTTGGTTAGTATGGGGGCCAGGTGCCCAAAATGTTTACTTTCGTTGCAGTTGAGAACGCACAATGTTTTAGGAGTTTCAACGTGTAGACGGGACCACAAGTATAAATAATCTGAACAACATTGTCATTAGTTGAGAAGAAGTAGCGACAACCCGGCCATTATGGAATTCAATACAGTCGTCCCTCTCTAATCTGGCACTTGTTTATCCAGCACCCTTGCAAACCAGTACACTTTCTGGCAAACGGATTTTTTGAGTTCATTTTCCACGCTTCAATCCGACACTTGAATTCCGCCTCCAGCAGCGATTTTCTGCAACAAATCACTCAAACTGTACATAATTCGATTTTCTAATCCAGCAGTTGTACATCGCATACTGTCAGGAAGCATTGTAACATACACAACACATGTAACATACACTTGGGAATATCCTATGCCAGTGCATAGGATATTCCCAAGTGTATGTTATAGACATGCATTCCACAAAGTACTTGGTTTGACACAGAAAATCCCTACGTTCGACATACGACACAAACATGTATGTTAACAGGTGGATCGAGTTGGAGGGCAGGATTTAATAATCCAGCACCCTTGTTTATCCAGCAGAAAATGCCGTTGCGGGATTAGAGAGGTATGCCTGTACACCGCACCATCACATCGCGCTCTTGGCCGATCCAAACTATGCACTCACATCACCATCACCACAGCGAGGACAATTCCAGTATAGAGATTGATATTGACAATGACCGTCCAGACAGCTGTTTCGCTCCTCCCGAGCTCATCAGTGGAGGCATATAATGTTGAATGAAAGAATAATAAGAATATTTTAATATTTACCTACTGACAATGTTGTGCAGAACAACGAAACGTCTGGAAACGTATCGTAAATAGTTCTATCTTTGGACTCGGATGGAGAGCCAATAATCAATTTATACAAAAGAGAAAGGACCAAGGAGCTACAAGTTAAGCTATACTGTCCACTAACACCACCGGTCAGTGTCGTGCACTGTTATCGCATGAGCTGATTGTTTAGTAACTGGTGGTGTTAGTGGATATTATAGTGTAACTTGTAGTTCCTTGGTCCTTTTTACTTTTTATAAATAATCCTTGGCTTTCCATCCGAGGTTTTTAAAACTTACTTTTAGTTTTACTTCACTATAGGCCAAAGCAATATCTGTCTTTTCAATGGACGTATGGCCACAGTTATTGATAAATTTAACGAGGAAGATACTTGAAAAACCCAACACACACCATCCTCAAATCAAGTGGTTTCTTCCCTGCAAACTACTAATGTCTCAGTCAAATTTCGGCCGGGCGCCATCAACAGGAGGAAGCTACTTACAGTAAAACGTGTAACTAAAGACGACCGTGACTAGCGACCAGCCTGGTACTACCGACCACTTCGCCAGGCACGGAAGGTCTCACATTCAAAATGCACTGTGACTAGCGACTACCTGCTGAACGCGACCAGCGACCGCCTTTTCCTGTCCCAAAGACAATTTTTGACCCGTAACTAGCGACCGCGATGTAGGAAATCAAATGTTGCTCGAAGCTCCTTCTTGAAATTTTGCTTATTTTCCAGGGTCCTGAAAGGAATCTCTCGATACTACAGCTGAACAAATGAACGCAGGGAATTTTGGCTGTGGAGTCGGTGTGGACTGCACTACACCTGTCAAAATTTCAAGCGCTGTCAAGAATATACATGATAGGAAACGTCTTGGAGAGCGCATCGAAAGCGCTCTCTGATCGATGTTACTACTCGGAGGAGAAACGAAGACTAGGCGGCTCTGTCACCCCAGTCATACAGACGAATCGACGATGGTATCAAGGAATCCAGAAACAAAGCAGCACCACAAGGTCCTGATTCTGAAGGATCGCGTTCAAGCACTCGAGAAGTCACAACAAGGACAGTCGGTACGATTGATCGCATGAACAAATTTGAAGCCCAGCACAAAACGAAACTTCCCCAGGGAACTTTTGATTCCTGGCTTCAGAAGTAGAATCTGAATTTGAAGTCTGCAAAAAATTAATATTCTCTCTCTCTCTGTCTCTCTCCATCTCTCCGTCTTTCTCTCCAAGTGTTGTTTGACCTGAAATAAGAATGACATTGCGCAAGTACTGTGGAATTGTATTAGCTGCATTTTCACATACATATCATATAATGGAATCCATATTTTATGGTCACGCGGTGCAAACCTCTAACTAAAGACCACCTGCTACTAAAGACCGCTTTTGCTGGCACCAATGGGTGGTCGGTAGTCACAGGTTTTACTGTATATAAAGAAAGAGGAAAAAGAATTTCACGGTTGGCGTGAGACTCGGCCAAAGGCCCAGTTTTCTGCACCCACAGGAACGCCACCACCCTCTTGGATCAAGGCGCAGATACAGCTCCTAAAGCGATGGGAGGTGAGCAGATCAGACCAATCACAAAGTGGTCAAAGACCGAAAATCCCATTCACTGCATCCATGTTTCCCTCGTACCAGGCCACGAGTTCCCAATTAACTGTGCGTCGCAGCACGGCTTCCGCTTCCAAGCAGGACTTGAACCTGGTACCCTCTGTTTCTCAATCATGGTCTTAGACCATCCCACTATGCCTGCCTGCTAAAAAAGAGGAAGAGGGAAATATATTCATGAAAAAGGCACAAGGGAGAAGAGGGTCATCATGGTGACATTATTAAGCCAGAATGGGGATTCCCCTGTCACGTGCCATGCACGCAACGGGCACCATAAGGTTTGCCTGAGGAGAACGAATCTTTAAAAATTTGAACAATTGTTCTGCGTGTGAGTGCTGATCTGGCAGAAATCAGCGTCGGGTGTGGAATGTCGTTCTGAGGGTGCAATGGAGTGGTTTTTGATTAGGATTACAGTGGCTCTGTTGTGCCTGCCTTGTTGGAGTTGATAGAGGAGATTTCAAGCTGTCCAGAGAGACTAAGAATTTGAATATCCATAACTGTGATATTATTTGTGACTCAAGTCGAGTTTTGTAGCGCTGTGCGGTATGGGTTAAGCAATCATACGCATTCATGTATTGTGGTAGTTTTAAAGAGGCTAGGGGAATATACTGAACGGTGATCGCTGGCGCGTAGTCAGGTGGTATGGGCTCTATAAAGATTTAAGCCTAAATCGAGGGGAGTTACCATTTCGAGGGAATTTCCATTTCGATGTTTGTAATGTTTTTTTCCTCTGGTATTCTGTATTTCTAGTTCACGCGTGCAATGTGCCAAAATTGGCTCATGGTAGGCAGAACAATACTGAGTCAGTAATCCGGCATGGGACGACTGTAGCATACACATGTGATGTTGGATATAAGATGAATGGACCTGCTACAGTGACCTGCACTGCCAATGGTTTAAGTGCCAACACTACCTGTCAAGGTAAGTGGAATGTACTCACTCTTATCAGGTCATGTTTCTGTTGGGTTTTCTAGTTTCAAACGTACTTCTTGAGTAACAAATTCATAATATGCAAAGTTGAACACAGTCCACAGAACACTGTGTGTGTATGTGTGTGTATGTGTGTGTGTGTGTGTGTGTGTGTGTGTGTGTGTGTGTGTGTGTGTGTGCACGTGTGTGAATGTGAGTCTCACGGGTGATAATCGCATCCGTTCGAGGAGATTTTCTTGCCCAACATCCGAAGGAGATATTGATCTCCAGACGACGCTCTCAAATCTCAATGGACTCCCTGATAGTGGGAAGCACGTCACAGGATGCTCGACAAACCAGAGGGTAAACACATGGCTACTGATCACCTGCAGCACGGAACCATCAAGAGCACAGATGTAATTTTCATTGGGGCCCAAGTACCGGCTGTGGAAACACGGATGGCCAGAAAGAAAAATCAGGGAGTCCATCGAGATTCGAGAGTGTCGTCCGGAGATCAATATCTCCTTCGGATGGCCATTGAAGGCGATAGCACCCTCACAGTGAAACTGCTGAATCTTGCTGTGTCTGTACAGGGTTGTACACACAATGATTGTGGCATTCACCTTCGTACACACATTTCCTGTGCTTTATCTGCTGAGCTCTTGCATATCCACTCTTTCAGCGCACTTCTCCTTGTCGGTTGTAAATGCAAATTCATATACTCAATTGCACTCAATCTGTGGACAGCAATTGCATACGGCTGTTGTGTGTTTCATTGGTTTTGTACATGGACACACATACTTTGAAGTACGCTATCGATTGCTTTCGTTATAGAAGGCCAGGCTCGCCCCTTGTGAATTGTTCTGACGATGGGTGACTGGCCCGAAACGTGCATAATTTTTTCGGCATCATTAATGTAAAATAGAGAAGGAAAGCATGAGAACGAGTTATGCAGCAACTATCCACGACTGTAACAAGATGATAAACGGTAAGAAAGTGAGATAACACGGCACACAACTGACAGGCTACTCAGACATTCAGCGTCCGGAGACCTAGCTCTAAGACATCTTTAGTGCACAAACCATCAGCCTTCCAACTTGGAAGGTTCAGTATCCGAGTTTAGACATCAGTAATAAAAGAATGGTGCTTGGTGTTGTGTACCCTCACCAGATGTCAAATGCCACGGTGTACTTCTCGACGCGACAAGACCCAGTCAGCACTATCTGTCGCAGACATCGACTTCTTTGGGTGTGCCATGTCGTCCGTGAAGGGCCTGACTCAGGGTCTTAGCAAGCACTAGAGGTGGCAATTAGTACCCCTGACATCAAGCGCCCACGTGGCCAACCCCATCTCAGATGGATTGACAATATTAAAAATGATATAAAGCACACCAATTTTTATATTTCTGACTGTTTTGAGCTGCCTCTAGACAAGAAAAAATGTGCTGCGCTTGCATAGTTGTTCTTACTGCGATACGTTCAAGCAAACAATAATGAGATGCCTCTTGTTGACTCTTCTGCCTGGATTTCATTGACAGATGCGTCAAGCCCATGGATCCTTCCATGAGTGACAAGCGAACCGTAACAATTATTATTAATAATAAAAGAATTTTCATCCAGCGCATGCGCCAAGAGTGAATAGCAACTAAATAGAGCGGTTGTCAGTTGACAATCCCCCTTTTATTTACAATGCAGTTGCGTTAGGTCCATCACTTTCTGAACAAAAAAAGAAGAAGAAGAAAATTGAAAGGAGTGACAGGTACATGATATGAAATGTTAGGAGGAGAGACAGTAAATTAGAAGGAGAGGAGAGATGAGACAGACAGTGTTAGGAGGAGAAGGAGAGAAAAGAAGAACAAACGTTATTGGGACGAGTACGTGGAGCAGAATTTGAAAGTCATGGGCTGAGGCAGATATGATGCTGATATTCAGAGATGGGCATGTTCCCACAACCAGTCGTTGGTCTTCAAATAGTGGGTGACTGCAACCTTGAAATGTTGCAAGTTCTTGGGGCATAAATGGACCAGAGGAGACTCCGGCGGGCAGCTGGTTCCAGACGGGGGCAACTGCGTGAGGTTTGGCTCAACAAAGGTTGTGTCTGGACCGGGCTGGAAGTTCATTTGCCAGTTGGTGCACGGGGGCATTACATCTCTGAGACGTGCTATGGGAGGACTGGACTGTTCGGTGTTGGGGCTGCTGGGGTGTAAAAATTCTCTGTAGAAGGGGATGTGCGTCTGGACAATGCATCTTGTACAGGAAGCAAAGTGCTGCAACTATCCAACGAAGAGCAAGACTCGGCAGCCGTTGAAATCGGTAGCATGCCCCATTGGGTGCGGTGGAAGCTGACAGGTAGTGTATGGGATTTGGCTGGTTCAAATTGTTTTTATTTTCCATTCTTGACCCCAGAGGAAGATGTTGTTGACTGCTAGCTGGAGGGCTTGGGTAGTATCTTGTTGGGTGGTGGAGTGATGTTGGCATACAGCGTAGTGTCGTCTGCGAGCGAGGCTAGGTCAGCACCGGCTGGTTTGTGGTCCTCGCAGTCATTCACGTATTTGAGGAAGAGAGTCAGACCTATAATACTGCCCTGGGGGACTTCAGCCTGTACTGGGAGCCTTGAGGATGTCTGGCCACAAATATCCACTCGAAGGTAGCGTTCACTGAGGTATCTGCTGAGCCACTGGTGTAGTTACCCACGTAGGCCATTTACGTTGGACTTGATACCTCCCGTCCGCCCCGATTTCTCAGGAAAACCTGACGATAAACAATCAATATATTTTACGTGGCCTTATCTTCGGACTTGATTTTTCGGTGGTCTGCATGTGTCATACGGCATGGAACCACTGAATCACCATCCGAACATAACCATTGACCATTGCATCGGACGACATGGCAGCACAAACCATCACAGAAGTTGCTATCGGTTCGTTTGAGTCTTTTTGACGGAGCTACCACCGACGAACACTTCTGTCAGCGCAAGAAAACGCTGCAACCTCCGCTCGAGTCCGAAAAATAGGTCGGAATTTCAGAGCGATGGAGAATGAAGTTTCTGTCTACTTCCAGCTGTCTGGTGTCAAGGATTGTTTGCCGTGGGGAGGTATAGAAAAGTTGAAAAAGCGCTTCGCGAGCTTGAATTTCAGTGCTGGCACAGTACAGCGCCTAGTGAAGAGTTACCCCCAGCAAATCGCTGACGAAGAAACTGGTGCTCATGTCGACATCTCCAGAAAGTGAGAACAATCCGGCTGACATACTCTGATGCTCACAGAGGACCGGGCAAAGGAGCTAATCAAAATCAACACCAAGTCCTGAGGGAAACTCTCGTGCAAAGGACTTTCAGGAAACTAACCGAAAAGCCTGGTGCAAGGCATTAGGACTTAGGTGCAGTAAGCACAGCCACAGGTGCTACATCAAGCGGAAGCTATCACTGAGCTGCATGTACAAGCATCAGAGTCTTGCGTGGGTGCTGATCAGCAAGTACGACAAGCGCAAGAGGCGATTTGAAAAAAAAAGACACTAATGTGGCATTGCATTTTTGTCTCAAACTAAGCCGCATTATTGCGACGAACGGGATAACACTTTCAGCCAACACACAGGCAGTCTCAATCAGCTTCTGAGCGGCAAGGTGACTGGCACACACTGCCTTTGAGCGTGATTCAAGACGAGGCGAATTTGAGCAAGCTATGAAACGTGCAGCAGCTGTCCGGATCGAACGTTTTGAGCGCATGCTTCAAATACAATTATGTATCTCCTTGCTGAGACAAGTGCGAAGATAAGCGCCAATTGTAACTACAGTCAACTTCGCTAATAACGACTGCGGTTATAACGACAATTCGCGAATAACGACCGAATTTCCATGCCGGGAGCAAAGTCCCATCTAACTGTATACATTTAACTTCGGATATAACGACTATCTGAATAACGACAATTCGCGTATAGCGACATGCTTTTAGTGCCCCGAGGTCATATTCACTGCTTGAATAACGACTTTCTGGGCTTTTGACAGCTATTTCAAGTACCTGTCATGCAGAAGTACCAGAACCTATGGTGATGGATATTATTCATAATTAATAATTATTATAAAGGCACACATGCAAGAAAATGCAGCCAAGGGGGAGGGGGCTTTTTCTTCCTTTTTTATGTTGGCTTCAAAATTGTTGGATTTACCAGCACACCTATATGTATACAATGTACATGTAGTTGTACATGATTGTACAGTAATCATCATACATGTACATGTACATGTCCCTGGCCCTGTAGATGGCTCAAAAAGGCATATTATTAATTTTTTCAATTAATTTCCCTTGCATATTGAATTTTTAGTTCCTTTCAACTGCAATATGAAAATAAAGTACACATTGACATAGAGCAAGAAAAGAGCTTGATTTTGATATGCATGTCATACTATACAAAATATGGGTTCACATACATTCAAATGGGACTTCGGTTATAAGGACACTTCGCGAATAAGGACACTTTTCTGATGCCCCGCCGAATGTCGTTATTGGCGAAGTTGACTGTAAATTAGTGTACGTCCTCATGTTCTTTCCGCTTGTCTCAAATGTACTTTGACGTGCTATTTCGCCTGACGACATAGGCGATAAAATGATTAAACTGCTAAAACTCAAAAACAAAAAGCTGCAAGTTGTGGACAAACACGTTGAACTTTTTTAATCTGTTTCCGATTATTTTAATGAAGTTTTTTAAAGACAACATGTATGCGGTTTACCCATACAATTTTGTACTGTGGCCAACGACGAGACGCACATCAGGAAGTTCTGCAAGCCCGGGTTTGTGTGACTCCCTGTCACAGATCTACTCACACCATCTGAACCATGCATGTATATATACATCAACTGTTCCAAAACAGAATGACTTCAGCTCGATTTTGGTCTCGCCTTTAATACTGTAATATGTTATGACGTACATTGGTTACATGAAACCAGGCAGAAGGAACAACAAGTTTTAATGTTATTCGTACTTCAAAATAGTTGTCACAGTGAAAAGTGTTATGTTTGA